TAAGGGAGGAGGTGGAGGGAAGAGATGGGAAGCAGAGAGGGGAGGGAAGAAAGAGAGGGGGAACGTACCGAGAAAGAGAAACAAACAAAAGTGGGGTTAGTAGTGGTTACGGATTAGTGTGCGAAGCCTGCCTGGAAGATTGCTGGTGAAAAACCCCCGAGAACATGGAGGTTCAGGCTGCCCCACAAAAAGCGCAAGCCCACCCGGAGAGAGGAGGACTGGGCAGGGATGGCTGCGAGCCCAGCTGGCTGCGTGCAGCCTGCCGGGGTTCCCTGCTGCCTCTGGGATGTGCTGAGCACCTCCTGCCCGGCAGTGGGGTTTCACCCACATGGTGCAGGTCACAGAGGCTCAGACAGCCTGTGGTTATCCCGTTCAGACACTCCTGCCCCTGGGAAAGGCAATCTGCCTCAGCTCCACCGCAGAAGGTTCATCTGCCAGGCTGGATGTACGCAGCCATTTTGCCTGCAGAGGCCAGGAAGGAGAGCAGGATTTGACCTGGAGTAGCGAGGTAGTGGTCACCCCCCGTAACCCCTTCACTGTCCAACATCTGCACGGTGCAGCATGCTCCTTAGGAAGGAGCAGAAGGAGGCAAGGCGGCTGCTTCCCAGACCAGGGGACAGTTAGCAAACATACTGCTGCCTCCCACCCCAGGCACTGCAGGCAGGACACCCTTTGGTGGACTGAGGGAGCTCGGGCACGGGGTTCAGCATCGCAGACACCAGCAGGCATGGCTTGTTGTCCCAGAGCATCCCTGATAGAGGTAAGCGGTCTAGTAGGTGACGGGTTAGAGGTTTTTGGGGAATGAGGGCTGGGCAAAATGGAGGAGATGATAGAGTGGTGGGGGCAGAGGGCATCTCCTGGCTGAAGTATTAGGTCTGAGCAGTCACCAAAAGAAAGGCACAGCGGTGTTACGCAGCATTAGTTAGGGTACAGGTGAGGGAGAGAAGGGGGCAGCAGAGGAGGAGGAGAAATCGCCAGTTCCAACTCCCCAGAGGGAGATCCCCCATTCAGTGGGCAACCTGGCCCACTCCGGTTCAATAGCCCATCTCTTCCCACCCTGTGCCCTGCCGTGACCACACACGGACGCCCGTGGTCGAGGCGTTGGAACTGTCTGTGCTCAGTAACCTCCAGCTGCATCCCTCCACCTCTTCCCTAAAATACCCCCATCAGTAAGGGGCACTAAGGCAGCAAGGATGGGGAGTTAGGGAACAGGGTGTTGTATTCTTCCTGAAAAGTAATGTCTCTGAGTCTCCGGAAAGCCAGAAACGTGAGGAAGCCCTGTAAGGAGAGAGAGGGGTGTGGGGAGGAGAATCAGTAAGGAGGAGCAAACCAGAGCATTTGATTGAAATAAAGACCCCAAGGAACCGGAGGAAGAGGATGCCTATTTAGCCACGCGCAAGCCTGTGCGTCGGGGAGGACCACTGCAGGTGGTGGCACCTCAAAAAGGGTCCTTGCAAAAGCCTTGCTCCTCATCACACTTTCTGCTGGAGCTTGCGAGGGGCCTTCAGCGGCACTTGAGTGCAGGACGCTGCTCATGGGGGGGACACACACACTGCTGTCCCTTGCCCCCACTCGGTGTTACCTTGGCAAGGGTGCTGACTGCCCAACCCTTTGCAGCCCCCCTCCTCTCTGATAGCTTCGTGTGGTCTTACGGCACCCTTCCTACCTGGCCCCCACCCAGTGTTAAGGCCGTAGGGAGAGGAGAAGATAAAGCCACAAGGACTTAGGCATGGAGACTGGCCTAAAATGCTTTCCTGCTTGGCACTATCCTCTCACTTCAGACAAAAATCACTCGGGCTTGGTGCTTTCAGAGACGGGAGGAAATCGTGGGGGATATTTATATTGCACACCACAGTTTTTCCAGGAAACTAGCAATAAAGAACTGCTGGGGAAAGGGCAGTCTTAAGAGACAGCACCATCACCTTTCTAAGAGGCGACCCAGTGAGGCAGTGCTGCAGTCCTGGGTACAGACGGAGAGCCCAGAGGGACGCCGATTGCAGCCTCTTGTGGCCACTGATGACATTTCACGTGATGGGAGCAAAGCAGGGAGGGAGATGGGTGCAACCCCTGACCTGGAGCTCCCTTCTCTGCTTAGCGTCTGGGAGGTGAAAATGCTGTTAAAAGTCCTCTGACGCACAGGGAGAATGATGCTTGGGGAGCTGGCTTGTCTAAGGTCATATTAGAGGTTTGTCAAGGACACTCCTTACTGGGATATGGGACCCTCTTTCCCATTGTGCTTATTAATGCTCTAGCACCTTCTTCCATGTAAGTTTTTGAGTCCTTGTTTCCCAAGTTTACCTCCTAACCACCTCCCCTCCTGCTTTTCCTTCTCAGAAGCCATGTGAACTGAGATCTCAGAGGGAATCACTGTTAGCCAGTCACCATCCGTTCCCCACAAGCTAATACAGTGCAGAGCACACTTGACCCAACATCATGGCTGCTGTACTCACCCAGGTGAAGATGGAGAAGAACGAGAACGTGATGGCTGCTCGGGCTGCATCCCCTCCCTCATTCATTGGGTTGTCCTCTTTTTTTGAAGCTTGCCACTGGTTGGTCAGAAAGCAGAAGCCAACGAACCAGAGGAATGCCCAAAAGGCTGGGATGGACCACCACCAGCATGCCGAAGGGGAAGGGGAGAGACATCAAGAAGGTATGTGTGAACAAAACATAAACACATCATGTTTCTCTGGAAACTTCAACCCTATGAGACCCACCAGTGTGTTGCAGACTGAGCCAAACTCTGACTGCGCAGCCTGTCTAAGCCCAAACAAGCTGGCAGGCTTGCTTACGGCTAAATTGTCAAGGTGACGATAGGTGTTTGCAGAAAGTACCTCTGGAGAGTTCATTTGCTTGTGTTTGGATTGATCACAGGACTTGCATTTGGCCTTGGGAGGGAGCCTGAAGGGCTTCCAGCACAGGAGCAATCACCTGGGCTCTTTGAAACAGCCACTGCTTCACAACCCTGTCCTGCAAGGACAAGCGAAGAGCAATTCCTTCCAAGGGAGCTGCAGAAGAGCAGGAAGCAGCCGGCCTGCAATTGCACAGAGACCGGCCTTTGCTCAGGACAGCACAGGCTAAGGGACTCACACAAAGGAAAGGTGCTGAAGGATCATTAACAAGCTGCATCCCCGGGAAAGGGGTGAAGGTACAGGGGAGCCCCGAGTCCAGACTGGCAGCTGGTGGGGAGGAGTGGAACTCACCCTGTCTGCCAGGCGCAGCCAGATACCCGCCAGCGAGGGAAACGGGCATTCCTAAGTGGCAGCAAAACAGGGCTCAGTCCTTCCCCTTCCCCTTCTCTTGTTACCTGTACACAGGACTGCTAGGCAAGGGGCTAACCATGAACAAACTTGCAAGCCAGAAGTCCTAAACAAGTTCAGATGCTGCACCTGATCCTGCTCTCGCTCCACTCGTGGCCTCTTTGACAAACTGTGGGGGGACCCTGACATGGAGGAGTTTGCCTGTATGGCCGGAGTAAGCCAAGAGAGCGATTCAGGATCACGGCACGAGAGCAAAACGCCTCCTCACGCTGCTGCTGACTGGCTTTACACATGCATACACACACCCACCATCGCTCTGTCTGTCACTTCAACACACTACTGGGGACGGAGAGATCTGACTGTAAGTTAGAATAAGCCTCAGGACTAGATGAGGTCTTGCACAGCTATTCACGTGGGGAATGCCAGGTAACCTAGGAGGACTGGTTTAGTCAGCCTGCATGAAATCCTCAATGTTTTTTTATGTTAAAATATATGGAGTTCAATCACCTGGAGCTGGAAAAGAAGGAATCATAGAATCAATACAGGCCAGGATGCCGTTGGCCTTCTTGGCCGCCTGGGCACACTGCCGGCTCATGTTCAGCCGGCTGTCCACCAACACCCCCAGGTCCTTTTCCGCCAGGCAGCTTTCCAGCCACTCTTCCCCAAGGAAGTACCATCTCCAGAGGCATCAACACGTGGCCTTAGCAAATGCAAGCATGCAGGGAGGCAAGACCTGCTGAGCCGAAAGGGCTCCCTGAGCCTATGGAGAACAGCAGAGAGGCATCAGCCAGATTGGCTGAGAAGAAGAGAAAGGGAAAGAAAAGGAGAGAGAGAGAGAAGGTCTGAGAGAGTAAAGAACCCAAAGACCTCCCTACTAGCGGGAACCTGGCCTGCGAGGTGGCAGAAGCTCCCTCCCTCTCCCTTGCCAGCAGAGGAGAGGGGCACTATGGCCAACCGGCCAGGAAGCTCACCCGAAACTCCGATGTCCGAGAGCACTGCCTTCTTGCGGTCCTTGACGCTGCTGATCTGCGGGAAGTAGGCATCTAGAGCCAGGTAAAGAAGGCAGCTGAGGAAGGCAAGGACACCCACGGTAATGCCATAGTTGCAGGCATTGCGATTGCGGTTGAAAATGCAGTGCTCTTGTGTCTCGTCCAGGCGGTTCACGTACCCTTCATTGACAATGGAGCCAAACACCACGATGGAGAACACCTGGTGGAGAGGGAGGCAGGAGACACGTCAGGGCAAGCCCCATCTCTATGGACCAGCACAAAGGAGCTGAGCTTTGTGCAGGACAGCCGTCCTTTGCAGGCACCTCTCTGCCCTGCTGAGCTCCCATCCCGCTGCCTTGCCTGGGCTGTAGCCATGGGGAATTTACTGGGGAGACAGTCTCATTTTATTTCTGAGGATTAACTTAAAATAGGACACTTTTAGATTGAGCCTTTTTATCCACCTGATCTAAAGCGATGTAAAGCAGTCGCAGTCTGGAGCAAGGGTGGCTTCCCACACGCACACAGGGAGGCGACATGGAGTGTAAATTGGGATATGGTTTTGGGGCGGGTGCCTGCGTACAAGGGCTCCAAGCAGCGGAAATCCTCTTAGTATGCACTTATTCTCCCACTCACTCCTTTCCCTTCTAGGAATTCATTGTTTCTACCACGCATTTGTTCACTAACTTTATCTATCCAGCTACTACGCTCTTTTCCCCATCCACCCTCCCACAATTCACAGCTCTGCGGCTCCGTTCTGCAGTGCTCCCGCTCTCCCCATCTCCCTGCAAGTCACACACCTCTCTCCACCAGTTTTCCATCAGCCCAGCCCATGACACCACCTATCCTTCTGCCCACTCACCCATATGCCGACACCCTCCAAACTTCCCCACGGATTTCACGGGCCAAACATCCCCCCTCCAGGTCCACCTGTCAGGGCCACCATGAGTCTTCCCGACCCGTCAGCGCCACTGCCACTGCATGTTATTTTAAATCGGGTAGAATCAAGGATGAGTCCAGGTAGAAATGCCATAATCTGCAGTTGCCAGTCTAATCTTTGCTCACAGGCTTAGCCTTTGTCACCTGCCACAAGGCCATCCCTCTTTGACACAGCAGGTTCACCAAAGCAGAGAGCTATTTACAGCAGCCCCAGTCCTGCATCTCAGATAAACAGCTTCTCCTCGCAGCCACAGGAGAAAGAGGGGAAGATTAAGGTGGCATGTACAGATTTTTCTTTGCAGGGCACCTTGAGACCTTGGTAGGAACAGCTTGCCTGCAGGCTGCCTGCGAGGGCCCCAGGCAGATGGGAAATGGGACCCCAAGCATGGGGTGAACATACATACGACATGCACTAGGACGTCACCGGAGCACTCTGCTAGCCTGGGAGCTGTCTGCGCAACAGGAGCCTGGCACCCTTGAACCACCACCCAATCCCCAAGGACAAGCAGCACACAAGAAGATGAGGTGGCCAAGTCTTCTGCAGGGAGTGGAGGTAGGTCTGAGGGTTTGCTAGGTCAGAAGGACCCAGGACCACTTAACCCAACCAAGCACCCCGAGATCACATGGCAGACAACCTAGAAAGTGGAGAAGCAGCTTTGCGAATGCAGGGAAAATTAACTGTTGATCAATACCAACCTGATACACCATCTATCATCAGTGGGGTTGGATGCCTGAGATCCACAGCACAGACCTCTGCTGTTTGACCTGTGGCATCAAGAACCAGAGGAAAAACCTTACTCACGGTCCCTGACAGCCCTTGGGCAGATATTCAACGCTGACCACATTTCAGCTGCCAAACTCTAACAAGTATCCAGACACCAATACTAGTTTTTCACTCCAAAGCTCATAATTGGGTCACGCTTGGGTTGCTGACATTGGGCATATTTTTGATGCACTAGAGAAAACTAAAAAAGCTGGAAGCTAGCGCTCCTAAGCGTGGGGACTGTATGGGTTCTCTGAAAGTTCACGAGAGCTTTTTAACCTTGGAAGTAAATCAACTGATTTGTCCTCTTCCTACTTCTTCCTGAAAATAGAGATTGATCATACTTTGCAGAAATTACCCATGAAAAACAAAATCAAATAAAAATCCCTTCTGCCTGAAGCAAAGGTTTGGTCTTCAAAATTTCAGCCTGCATGGTTGGGAAAGGCAGCAAAATTGCACACAATTACAGCCAGGCTCTTTCAGTGGGAAGTCTCACACACCTTCTCAACAGGCTGGGCTGACAGGTCTGCCTAGGACCATCGGCAGTAACACCATGTTCCTCTAACCTGAGGGGGAACTGACAGACTCTTTGAAGTGACATCCCAACGTGAGGCTGTGACCAGCACCGATGCTGCCACCTGAAGTACCAGCCTCCTTATACTGGGATTACAAAGTGGGTGCCCCGTTTTCCACAGCATTAGACAAAAAGCACAGCTTCTCTTTGGAAGACGAGAAACAGCCTCAAAAGTAGCATAGCCTGGTGTTCAGTTTTGGTTTAGGGCTCAAAACTGGTAAAATGTCGATTCCCCAAACGACGTCAACCCTTGCAACAACCTGTATCGCAAGTCTCTGCTTACTCACTTGGGATGAATGAACTTCTGTAATGGCCTCTCCCCAGAGACACCTCTGTTTAGTCTGCTCATATCCTGATACACATCTTCCCTCTGCTCTTACCTTTGGGTTTGCCGCTGGCCTGTAAGGGCTCTCATCTGCGAGTGAAGAAGCAGAATCATTCCTTTTTGCATTTGCCCCTTTATACCTATCTATGTTGGCCCTTCATGAAGACACAGCTCAGAGTCACGAGATCAGAGGGACATCTCCCTCTCCCTAAAATTTCAAGCAGAGGTGGCATTCCTAACTTCCTTTCTCCATCTTCAGTCAGCCAAGATGCCACTTCTCTCCTACGAAGAGAAACCTGTTTTACAGCCTGGAGGTGCCCAAGGTATGACTTACTAGCAAGCATCTGATCTTAGGAGTTTTCTGGGGAGATTCCACTCAGGGTATTCTCACTCGTGAGCAGAACAAGTCACTGCAGATGCTTATCTTCTGTGTCCTGAAACAGTGACTCCAAAGTACTCTTTGTCCTTAGGAAAGCCTTCTACGGACCAAAGCACAGTAGCTTAAGGGATGTCTCCTCCTGTCCGTGTTTTCCTCACTACTGGTATCAGCTCTGGTCCATGCTCTGCTCCCTCGTGCTGCAGAGAGGACAAGGTTGGTGGCAGTGAAGAGGGTTTGCTCCCTTTGCCAGCCTACCACTGCCCTCGTAGCACAGCAAAACGCCGTGAGGATGCGCTGTGCATAGAAGCCTTGAGCAGGACTGGATAACAGAGACTGGGCAAGAACGGGCAGGCTCAAATCAGAGGTTTCAGACCGACAGGCAGAGCTGGACAGCAAGAGAAGAGGCAATCACTGCTGCTGCCGACAGGCAGCGTCACCCATGATGATCACACCCCGTGATGTCTGTACCCAGAAGCTGTTGCGACGGGTGCACAGACAAACAATTTTCTAGAAAAAATTATGAGAGCCCAGATCTCGCAGCCCTCAGGAGAGACTGTTGCACACTTAATCCGCGGCAGCTACTTGTTGTCGGTAAGGGGGCAGGTGGATGGAAGCTCACTGACATAGCAAGTCATCTTAGAAAGAGCAAGTATTTTTTATTTCCTTGATTTCACAATCCGTGCCCATGCAAAGATGATCCAGGCAGCAGGTGCAGTATGAATGCTGCCTGGATTATAAACAAAGCACCAAGTCTGCAAGGATGAAGCATTTACGTTCCCGTTCTCATCACATCTGCAGCACTTCTGAAGAAATGCCAGCTACCAGCAGCACTGGCACAAGCCTCTTGCCCCTCTGTGTTACCGCTGCTTGCTCCTTCTACCCGTTTGGCATAGTGAATCCCTGCTGCACAAGGCCTCGCTTACAGCCACTAATAAAATGGTCCAAAATACACATCCAGCTGCGAAGAGGAGGCGAGGAGGAGATGGCAGGAGTCTTCTCCTGACTGAGCACTGAGATGCAGGGAAGTGACTTGTCCGAAGGCAGACAGGAGGCGGGCGCAAAGCACTGCATCCCAACGCTTCCAAATGCAGCCCATCCTTCCGCTCTGCAGAGGGAGATCATTAGCCGCTTTCCTACACTTGGCAACAAAAAACAGCCAGCCATTCCCAGCTTTGTGCACCTCAGTGACCTCATTTCTTCAGCAAGGCTGTTTAAGTCACTTAACAGGACTTGAAGTAACTAGATTTTTAGGTTGAGAGGGTTTCCTTAAGCCTCCAAGAGCAACGTTAAGTGGGCAGGTGTGCGGCCTGTCTGGAGGCGCGCATTTAATAAGCAGTAATATATTTGGCCACGCTCAAAAAAGGGACAGAAAACAGCATGTGGAGAAGATCTAACCAACTCAGCATTACTGCTGGGACCCGTCTTTTCTCGACTTCACCGCTCCTTAAACATTGCATCCACACAGGTTGTTGCAATGATTTTCCTAGACTTCTGTTTTCATCAAAGAGCTCCAAGACACCAAGCTAAGCCCAGAGCCAGGCATTTTGCAAAGCTGACAAGAGACAGAGCAACTTGGCGAAAGATGCAGCAAAATGAATGTAATGCTAAGCACTGCGGGGAGGAGACAGGGAGAGGCTGAGAGTTTCCCTGTCCCAGTTTCTCAAGGGGCTCGTGCTGGCCTTTACAGGCGTGTAAGGGCTCACTACAGTGAGAAAAGTGCAGAACAGGCAAAAAGCTGCATCCCACCATAAAAGACCTTTTTTTTTTTTCCTCTTACTGAACTGGGTGATCTGATTTTGCCAGAGGCAAAGGCGAGAGATGAGCCCTCAGAGGAGAGACTCTCCGGTCCCTCCCCACCTCCCTGCTGCAAGCTCAGCCCCGCAGAAAGCCAGGCGAAACCTCCTGAGCATCATGTGAGGCTTTCCACCACGCTGCCCATCCCCAGCCGTGCATCAGATGCTCCTGAGCATCATGTGATGGAGGCACAGCATGGCCAGCCTCCGGCAGTGCACTCGGATTTTCCTGCACCTCATCCCAGGAGTTTGTCACGCTGCCTACTGACTTCATCCCCGAGATCCCCACGATGGTCATAGCGGGAATGAGGCTGAAGAGGGTTTCTGTCGAGCCGCCTGCTTGGGCTCGCTGCAGTGCCCTCCGGTCACAGGCTCTGTCACACTGCGTGTTGCCTCTCCCTCTCCCAAACCCCCTTTTTATTCTATTATAGAGAGGAAACAGTTTGGTGACATAATATTCCTCGTGGGACTTCAAATCAAATCCGCCTCGGGCAGAACGAACCCATAAGCTCTTCTGTGTCTGATCTGGTAATGACCAGGAACAAATCTGTTTAAAAAGAAAGCAAGAGCTGGAGAGAGCGCAATTGATAAACTGGCAGAGTTGATCTGGCTTTCGTTTTCATTCAGCCACTCACAAATGGAGTCTCTGGAAAGCTTTGGAGAGTCCTGCACAGACATGGATTATTATTATTACTATTATCATCATCATTAAATCTACTTGTATTTAGTTCATTTTGAAGAAAACTTATGCAGCTTTTGATATGCATGGGACTGGCAGTTTGGAAAAAGGCAGCCTCTATTTATTCCCTCCAGCCGGCACCACGCAGGCAGCGAACGACTCCTGCCCATGGTCTCGATGTCGTATCTGAGCCCTGTGCGGGTGCTGGAGGGGGCCAGCCTCCTCGTACCCATTTGTACCTGATTCCCCTGAGCATGGGCTGGCAGAAGAGCACAGGTACACCAGCACCTCTCTCCCAGCTCACCCTCCCTGGCCAGCAGCCACATGGCACCAGCTCCCCAGCCGGGGCTGAGCTGGAGCAGGTGATGGAGCAGAGAAAGGCTCCGCATCCCTAATTCCTGCCACGGGATCTGGGAGAGGCTTTCCTGGCCAGCCGGCTTTTTTTCACACATGGCTTGGCAGCTGACAGGCCGGCCATTAACCCTTCTGCCTCCCGCCAGACCTGTGCCTGGATCAATCTTCACCCCCACAGCAGCCCAAGCCCCGGGTGATGCTGGGGCACCCCAGGAGCCAGCAGCCAGGAAGCCTCCAATGACAGCCAGGCCCAGGCTGAGCAGCCATGCCTGCCACCCGGGGAGGGAGGAAGAGCTTTGCCGTGGGAAGATGCCCACTGGTGTAACAGGAGGCTGTGTCCCAGAGAGCAACTTCAGGAAGCTCCGTCCAGTCCCACAGGTCTGCCGCTCTTCTTGTGGTCGAACAGCAACTTCTGTCCCACCGCTACTAGTGACAGCTCCCCATGGCCACACCTCCATGGTGGTATCCAGGTACTTCTGTGCTTTCCAGATGGTCCCTACATCACCAGGTCACTGCTCAGCGAAGTGACCACCCAAAAGTTGCATCTTTTTCTATGAGGAAGAGTTCAGTTTTCTTTCTAGCAACACAAATCTCCCTCCTCGGCCTGGCTGTGCCAACCTAGGTGGAGGACCGCATCCACTGCCACCTGCGTCTGCCCCTCTCACAGCCACACTAGTCCTCTCTGCTGCCTTGTCTTGCCACAAATGTTTGCCTTAGCCATGTCTCATCTCCATGCAGTTTCTCTGCTCCTCACCTGTGTGCCTCTCATGTTTTGAAATAGCAGATTACACAAGATTACCTTATTTTTTTGCTCATATTTCTGACTGCCTTTGGTCCCTATGTGCCATTTC